ATGTTTTTTATGTGGAAATATATTTGTATGCAAGTAAAATGGAGATGTAAGGTCCAGTTCACATATACAGTTAGGTCCATATATATTTGGACACAGGCACGATTTTCATATGTTTTGGTTATGTATCCCACCATAATAAATTTAAAATGAAACAATCCAAATGAAATTGAAGTGCAGACTTTCAGCTTTAATTCAAGGTTGAACATAAATGTCAAGTACAAATTTTAGGAACTGCAAACCTTTTTATACACAGTCCCTCCATTTTCAGGGGTTCAAATGTAATTGGACAAATGAATATAATCACAAAATGTGAATTTTAATATTTTGTTGAGAATCCTTTAATGGCAATGATTGCATGAAGTCTCGAACCCATGGACATTACCAAAAAATGGAATTTCATCCTTTCTGATGCTTTGCCAGGCTCTAACTGCAGCTGTCTTCAGTTGCTCTTTGTTTGTGGGTCTTTCTGCTTTTAGTTTTGCCTTCAGCAAGTGAAATGCATGGTTAATTGGGTTGAGATCAGGTGATGGACTCTGCCATTGCAGAATATTCCACTTCTTTTCCTTCAAATGCTCCTGGGTTGCTTTTGCAGTGTGTTTTGGATCATTGTCAATCTGTACTGTGAAGTGCCGTCCAATCAACTTTGATGCATTTGGTTTAATCTGGGCTGACAGTATATCTCTAAACACTGCAGAATTCATCCGGCTGCTTGTTTTCTATCACATCATCAATAAATCAATAAATACCAGTGACCCAGTGTCACTGGAAGCCATGTATGCCCATGCCATCACACTACCTCCACCATATTTTACAGATGACGTTGTGTACTTTGGATCATGAGCTGTTCCAAGCCTTCTCCACACTTTTTTCTTTGTCATCCTGGTACACATTATTTTTAGTTTCATCTGTCCAAAGAATGTTTTTCCACAACTGGTCTGGTTTTTTTTAGATGTTTTTTGGCAAAGTCTAATCTGGCTTTTCTATTCTTCAGGCTTATGAATTGCTTGCACCTTGTGGTGAACCCTCTGTATTTGCTCTTGTGAAGTTTTCTCATGATTGTAGACTTTGACAATGATACGCCCACCTCCTGGAGAGTTTTACACTTATCTGGAGGAAGCACAGTGGCTAAATGGTTAGCACTTCTGCCTGGAAATACTAGGGTCATTGGTTCGAATCCCAACCATGGCACCACCTGCCTGGAGTTTGCATGTTCTCCCTGTGCCTGCGTGGGTTTGCTCCGGGTACTCCTGTTTTCCTCCCACACTCCAAAGACACTCTTGTAGGTTAATTGGTTCCTGTCTAAATTGGCCTTAGTATGTATGAATGTCTGTTAGGGACCTTAGATTGTACACCCCTTAAGGGTTGGGGACTGATGTGAATGTACAATATATATGTAAAACGCTGCGTAAATTGACAGCACTGCATACAGTAAGTACCTGTAATAATAAATGTTGTGGATGGGTTTTTCTTTACTATAGAGAGGATCTTGCGATCATCCACCACTGTTGTCTTCCGCGGACGTCCATGCCTTTTTTATGTTGCTGATCTCACCAGTGCTTTCTTCTTTCCTCAGAATGTACCAAACTGTTGATTTGGCCACTCCTAATGTTGCTGCTATCTCTCTGATGGATTTGTTTCATTTTTGAAGCCTTACAATGGCCTGTTTCACTTGCATGGACAGCTCCTTTGAAAGCATGATGTAGGTTCACAGCAATAGATTCTAAATGCAAATGCCACAGAGTCAATTCCAGACCTTTTACCTGCTTAATTGATGAAGAAATAACAGAGTAGCCCACACCTGGCCATGAAACAGCTTTTGATTCAACTGTCCAATTACTTTTGGTCTCTTGAAAAAGGGGGGGTGGCTACTTTTAAGAGCTATATTTCCTAAACCCTTCCTCCAATTTGAATGTACATACCCTCAAATTAAACCTGAGAGTGTGCACTTTCAACTCCTATCCATTATATAACTATAGCTTGAATATGTTTTGGTAAAAACCTGAAAAAAAAAACTAAAATTTGTGCCTGTTTCTAAATATATATGGACCTAACTATGTGGATTTTATGCTGTTTTGAACTGCATCTAATCAGCATAACGTGAAACAGCACCGTGGCTAAATGGTTAGCACTTCCCCCTGGCAGTACTAGGGTCGTTGGTTCAAATCCCAGCCACAGCACCTCCTGCCTGGAGTTTGCATGTTCTCCCTGTGCCTGCATGGGTTTCCTCCGGGTACTCCGGTTTCCTCCGGTTTCCTCCAACACTCCAAAGACATGCTGATAGGTTAATTGGATCCTTTCTAAATTGGCCCTAGTATATGTATGTATGAATGTGAGTTAGGGACCTTAGATTGTACACCCCTTGAGGGTTAGGAACTGATGTGAATGTACAATATATATGTAAAGCGCTGCGTAAATGGATGGTGCTATATAAGTACCTGAAATAAATAAAATAACATTGATTGCTATGGTGCCTGTTTTACATATGTTCGGTGCACTGGCAGTGCGGATTCCGCACGGTTTGAAATAGCCGTGGACAATTTCTGAACAGTGTGGTCCAGTTGAGGTGCTGATTACAGGCTATGGACTTCTATGGGAACCGTTCCTAAACCACATCTGTGTGAACAGGATAAAATCCAAACGTAATCCTGTCCTGAACCTCATTTAAACCCAAGATGAACTGTTAAATAACTACTGTGTCAATTTGCTGTGAAACCTGAGCTTCAATCCGCACTGCACATGTGTGAATCCACTCTGATACAGACTTGTGCAGCCACCTGCTGTTCTGCAAAATCTGATACTGCTATTCTCTCTGTACTATACGCATATCTAAACCAGTTCTTAAAGTCCAATTCTGGGGTAACATGAAGTCTTAAAAATGCTCCCTAAATAACAAATAAATGCAACACATGATGTGATATCTCAAAAAAAGTCCCGTAACATAAAAATTATATATATAGTAAATTAAAAAATAGAATAGAATATATAATTTTAAAGTCCTGTGATGAAGTAACTTCACGGGAAGAAAAACCTTAAGGTATAGAAAACCTTGTGTAGTGCCTGCCGTGCACCCCCACTCAGGTGTGCACTCACCAGATATTGGCTTTATTAAAGCATACTCAAGAGGATATCCACTAATATGACATGGGGGTTTCTCCAAGGAAAGCCCACTTAATGATTGATTGCCAGGATAATTCAAAACTCCATTCCACCATATCGTAAAGAATCCGCTCCAATAGTATATTACCCAAGATAGATATTTATTTACTCCAAGTAATGCACTTACAATGTTAAAAACATAAACAAGCCCAAATAGTGTGTCTTTGTGACCAGCAGATACCGCATGGTGTTTCTCGGCACCTCCAGAACTGTTGGACAGAACCCCGTTGCGTCACTTCCGGTTACGGATCTGCGTCACTTCGGGGCTGACACATGTCCTGACTTACTCATAGGCTAGTTTTGTGTTTCCGACCATCCAGGAGTACACGTTGTCATGTGCATTTGCACTTCCTCTGATAATTGTGGTTGCTGGGGCTCCCTCAGGTGACTAGGTCCTTGTGTGCCTTTTGTTTCTTGTCAAGTTGCTTACCTGAGGGTTCTCCCTGAAGACATGTGCTGGATCTTGCTGCTTGATTGATGCAGGCAACTCTAGCAGCCTGTTGCTTTGGCCTGTTCCTTCTTATGCAGTAGTGGCGATTGTGGTCATTGGTGCCCTTGGGGCTTTTTTTTTTTTTTTCCCGCAGTATTGTGCCTTTCAGCCTGTATGGTAGGCTGAAATGGACCAAGACAGTGCTGGCTGTGTTCTGGAGCTAGATAACTACCCCTGGAAAACAGGGGAGCCGATCGTGTGACCAGACCAGAGCTGTATGGTTAGTATGCAGTATATGCATCTTAACACAGGAGGGGGGAGGGAGTATTTTTAGGATTTTTTTAGGGTAAACTTGGAATCTACTCCTCTTCACCTGTACACTGGCTTCAATGGTATATCTGGTATACTGGTATAATATATATATATAATGGTATACCCATGCTGATCACTTTTGTGTGTTTTTTTTTTTTTTTTTTTTTTTTTAAAGAAATGGTATAATGAAATAAAGGGTGCATGTGATGACAACATTGTGGGTGTGGCCAAATTGGCTGAGTGGGAGGGGCCTAAATGCAACCGTTAAATAAAACCTGAGCCTGCTCCCCTATACTCAGCACGCACACACATGCCACAGTCCTTTTACCCACAAAATATGTTTTAATGATTTGCTACAAGCTAGAGTTTTTTAATAGACATGAAACATATCATTACAATTTTGGCCCCCTTCTCCTGTCCATCCCAAGCATAGACCCCTTAACACAGTCTGACACCCCCAATACAGACTGACCCCCCCCCCCATTCCCCCACAGTGCATCATAAAAAAACCCAGAGAGTTTACACCACCCTTAGTGCACCACTGCTGGTAACTACAAAGATTCTTTGAGAGACTACCTTTTAAAGAAAAAAAAAAAAAAATCATAGGAGGAGCATGAATGCTAGTTGCCTGTCTGTTTATACTGATGCTTTTAGTACTTCTTTCAGTACTGCTCTGATTAGGAACAGGCATGCAGATAAGTTGACTTTTCTCTCACTTTCTTATCTACATGACACAAGTTGGTGTTCTACTTTAGATAATTCTCCACCAATCTCTTGACTGTTTTTGTTTTTTTGTGAAGCTGTATCTCTCTTGTTGGAAATTCTCAGTATAGGTGTAAAGGAGTAAACCACCAGTGTCTGGTGAGTGTAGGGTTCACCGGTCAAGGTGGAGGGCTAAAGTGTGTTGTTTGTGGTGTTTTTTTTTTTTTTTTTTACAGTCATCATTTTTACTACATAAAAGTATTTTAACAGCACACAGCTGAATTGGTTAATCTTATCTAATCAAATAAAATCGTTGTGTTTTTTAGGATCCTCCACCCCATCCTCCTGTCCTCATCATATAGGGGAGGTTCTGCCTTGTGATGTCTGTCTTGTTAAAACCACACTAACTGCTGAGAATGAGGTGGAAGCCCTTAAATTGTCTAATAACTATAAGGTAAGCCTTTTTTTCTCAAAACTTCTTTCAGGACAGCACATGAGAGAATGCAGCAGCTCCTCTTGCAGGAAACACCCACCCACTTAGACTTCAAATTGAAGGCCTCTCCCCACAGTCCTCAGTTATCGTGTTTCCTCCGGCCAGGTAGGAACACACAGGAACTGTGGTGACTGTGTTTTCTCAGGTGCTTCCTGAGAGTGGTCTCTGTTTTAACTTTGACTTTTTTTTTTTTTCTTTGCAGCAAGGGGGCTGTTCCTGGCTCCACTCTCCCCTGTCAGTGATCAGGGAGAGCCAATACTTCCGGGTAGCTTGTAGCCCTAATGTCCCTGTGTGGGCAATGGCGGCTGCCATGTTTTTAGTATCCAGCGGCGTCTGGGAATACCTGTGAGGTCACTTTCAGGCAGGGGCGGAGCTTCCAGTTGGGAGTGCGATGTCCGTTCTGGCCGCAGGGGGAGGGAGTAGGACCCAACCAGTGTCTATTTCCAGCCTGGGTCGGTGCAGCGGTGTTCTAGAACATCAGGACCACCACGTTGACCACTGCAGGCTCTTCTATGTAGGAGTCTGGTGCAACTGCACCTCCGGAGACAGGCAGAGGCACCAGCAAAGATCAGGTAAGGGAGAGCTTCCTATGGGCAAACTGTATTATGCTGCTTTTCTTTAGGGCGCTGTGGTGTCTTTTACCCCTGGTGGCTGGGGGCCTCTCTTGTGCTCTGGGTCCTGGGTATGTAAGGTCAGTGCACTGGTGGTGCGGAGGTTGGGCTCTGGTTGCATTGGGTGCTTTTGTGTGTTAAAGGTCAGTCAGTGGCTAAGTGGTTATGTTCTTTGTGCTTTGTCTTAGGCTAAGGGCAGTGAAAAGGAATCTAGCAAGATGAGATGTCCTTCATGCAAGCGTAAATTGTGAGATGCTTGGAAAAAGCCTTTATTCAAGGAGTGCATTTCTGCTTTGGTGAGAGAAGAGGCAGCATCAACTTCTAGTGATTTTTTTTTTTTTTTGGCTTCCATGAAGGCTGAGTGGAGTGCAACCTTGCAGTCTTTCAGAAATATGTTGGCATCTTCCTCCCAAATTGCTTCTGAGTCTACCCCCACACCACAATCATCAGCTTCCTTGGGTCTGAGATACCGTCTGCTCAGGTGACTGTCTCTCCCCCACAGTCAGAGGGAGATTCAGAGGATGATGGTGAAAGAGGCGGAGGATTTCTCAGCATCTAACTATAAGCTGTCGCTGGAGGATGTGGAATATTTGCTTAAAGCGATTCATGCCACCTTAGGCATTAAAGAGGAGGAAAGAGATCTCTCCCTCCATAATAAAATGTACCTGGGTCTTTGTAAGCCAAAAGGGAGATGTTTTCCTGTAAATTCAGCCATCTCAGACATGATAAAGGAATGTCAGGATCCAGAAAGGAAACCTTTTTTTTTTTTTTTTTTTTCTGGATCCCACAAGAGATGCTTCTCTTTTTGAAGATGACTCCTCGTCAGTATGGAACAAAGTGCCTAAGGTAGACACTGCACTTTCCCAAGTCTCCAAAAGCACAGACTTCTCCTTTTTGAAGACTTGGGGAGCCTGAAAGAGGCTATGGATAAAAGAATGGATTTGCTGTTGGAGAGCATGGTACTCCACAATGGAGAATTTTGAAGCCGGCTATGGCAGTCACAAGTGTAGCAAGAAAATCTAGAGCATTGACTGAATCAGCTTAAGGTGCATATCAATGTGGGGACCCCAAAGGATGAGATTTTAGATTCCTTCCCTACAATCACAAGAGCTGTAGGGTATATAGCGGATGCGTCCACGGAATCCATACGCATGACAGCTTGTTCAGTGGCATTGTCTAATTCTGCAAGAAGGCCTTATGGTTAGAAACATGGCAGGGGGACTCTACACCAAAGGTTAGGCTGTGTGGAATCTCTTTTTCAGGAGATCTCCTTTTTGGGCTAGACTTGAAGTCAATTTTTTTTTTTTTTTTTTCCAATTCATATCTTTTATTCAATTTTATTTCAATACATAGATCAACAATATATCATTTATCAAAACGCATACATTTCAAATTACTTCTTTAAACCCCATTCCCTTCCCATTAACTTACCTCTGTTCAAGTAATCCTTCCCATCTCTTTCCTTCCCTGTATACCAACCTATTTCTACAACCCTATTTGCAGTTATTCAGTTTAATTCTTCAACTCTACTACCGGGGCACCCCTCACTTCGAGGCATTTTTCAGATGTTTTAAAATCATACCACCTACTCCAAACCTTTTCCAAATTTTTTTTCCACTTTGTCTTCCTCCATAAGGTATAACTCCTCCATCTTATTTATATACTCGATCCTATCTATTCAGTCCCTCATTGTTGGAGGGTCCTGTACCTGCCAAAATTTGGGGATATTAAACCTTTTGTCGCACTGATTAGATGGTATAATATACTATTTTTATATTGTTTCTCTGACCTATAAAATTAGGCACACCCACGGATCCTTCAATATATACAGGAAATTTTGGGGATAACTATTCAAAAATACAGGTGTTTTGGCAAGATATAATTCTGGACAATCCCACCATATATATGCCATTGTCCCCCTTGCCCCACATCACCTCCAACATAATGGTGAAATTTCTACTAGTTTGTGCCACACTCGGTGTACAATACCATCTGGTTAAACAACTTAAACATTTTAATCTTCTGTTGCTCATTCATTTTTGTACCCAATTCTCTTTCCCATTTCTCGAACGGAGGTTCAGATCCCATCAGTTCAATAAGGATCTTGTATATCCTAGAGGTTATATGTTTATGTCTTTAGAACTCAACATTTTTTTTCAAATGGAAGCATGTCCTCCGGCATCCTCAGTGGCTGGGGGAGCATTGAGACAAAATGTCCTAATTGGTAATATCTCAATTCATCTAATGTAAAAAGTAAATCCTTTTTACTCTTTAACTCTTGAAAAGTGCATAACTTCCCCTTGTCTACTATGTCCCTTAAACGTGCATTTCTATCTTTAAACCATTTCCCAGAAATATTGTGTGGAAAAAACTCTGTATCCACCAGGGGCATCAACAGTGAATTATACTTCCAACCCATTGACTTGTGAAAACCATCTCAAATCCTCAACACCTCCGGTGTCAGTGTGCTACTATTTTTCATCTATAACCCGAAACTGTTGCGGAATCCAAATGATCCTCTCTAATTGTATATTACTTAATATACCTTCTATTTAACCCAACTTTATTCTTGTGAATTATTTGTCCAATCTACCACCTGTGATAACACCGACGTGTATTACTTCCTCATACTTGGCAGATTTAATTCTCCTTTCTTTGTTATAACATCAAAATATCGTACTTAATTCTTGGTTTCTTAATAGCCCATACAAACCTCAGTATCAATTTTCTTATCCTAAAAAAAAGTTCCGGGTAGATATTTTGGGAGCATTTGAAACTTATACCGGATTTTTGGGACGATCACCATCTTGACCAAATTTATACACCAATCCATGAGACCCAACACATTGAGAGTCTTCTCAACTCATCTTTAACTTAATTTATTAATGGAATATAATTAACTTGGTATAAGTTCTTTATTGAGGGGGTTAGCTTTATTCCCAGGTAGCCTAATTCCTTTTCCCTCCATGTAAATGGAAAATCTTCTTGCAGGGTCTGCATCTCTGCCTTTTGGCACGTTAATATTTAAGATCACAGATTTTGAAGGGTTTATGTTCAGATTTGACAGCTCTCCGTAGCGTTTTAATCCCATTAAGTTAGGCAACGTCAATCTAGGGTTCACAATGTAAACCGCATATCATCTGGATACACTGCTACCTTATGTTCTACTTCTCCTATCTTAATTTCTGTAATATCTGTGCTCTTTCTAACCAATGCCAAAAGTAGTTCCAGGGATAGGACAAATGGCAACGGGGATAATGGACATCCCTGTCTAGTTCCATTATACATTCTAAAGGTCTGACAGGGACCCATTAACCCTAACTGCTGCTGAAGGGCCTATTATAAAGCCCTTTTATCCACCTTACCATTTTGGCCCCTATTCCTAATACCTCTAGCGTATATTTATCATAAATCCCCAATCTACCCTATCAACGGCTTTCATCCTGGTAGCTAGTACTTTCGCAAACAATTTAGTATCTGTATTTAATAATGATATAGGTCTATAACTGGTGCATTGAGAACTATCCTTCCCCTCTTTAAGGATAATGGTTATATACGCATGCAGTGATTCTTCTCTCGTTTCCGTTCCCTCCCCTAACGCATTCATATATCTACAGAGTCTAGGGACCAGTAACTCTTTAAATCACTTATAATACCCCACTGTATATCCATCGGGACCAGGGCTCTTTCCTCCTCTTTCAGGGACGCTCTAATTTCATCCTAGGAAATTACTTGTTCTAGGGATACTAATTTATCTTCTGAAATTCTTGGTAGGTCTGCTGCCTTTAAAAATTCTTGCCTTTTGCTTTCTCTTTTCTTCCTCCCTCCTATTACTTTCTGATTTATAGGATTCACCTCGTAAAGCCTACTATACAATTTTTGGAACATATTAGCGATACCAGTGGTGGAATATATCAATTCCCCCCCGTTATCTTTCAATTTTTTCTATATAGTTTTTTTTTTTTTCTTTTCCTTCAGTCTTTTCATCAGATATTTTCCTGGTCTATTCCCACAGTGGTATCTTTCCTTTGAGACTCTATTAAAGACTTCTCTCGTTTCCTGTTCCAGTAGATCCTTCAGTTCTTCTCTTTTAAGGGTAATCTTCTGATGTAGATCTATAGCCTGCTTTTTTTTTTATGTGCCTGTTCTTATTTTTATATAACTCTTCAGTTTCCTCTCTCGTTCGTTCTTTTTCTTTTTTTTTTTTTTTTTTTTTTTTTGGTCCCTACAGCTTTCAAGATTCCTCTCATATAGGCTTTATGTGCCTCCCATATAGTAGCCACCAATATTTCCTCAGTTTAATTCAGAGCGAAAAATGTCTGTAACTCTTCCCTTAACCTTTTCTCTATT